GTTTGACGCAACACTCCATGGTATCCAATCACGGCACTTGGCAACACTGTCATATCCGTAGCAGCAGAAGAATTTGTTGAGGTAAAAGTGACCCCCGTCTTCTCCAGCTCGACAATATCCTGTCTTTAAATCTGCCAGAAAATCCGTGACGATATCGATTCCGGCTGCAAATGCGCCCGCTGCCAGCCCTGTCAGAACAAGAACTATCCATATCTGACTTGCATCCAAAAGCTGTTTTACATATCCAACTAATCCTGTTGCGTTTGAGTATAACGTCCGTAGCCTTTGTCGTTCTTTCGTGTATTCAAAGATCCAATCAATAGCTGTCATATCCTCATATCCAACCCGTCGACCTGGCCCCTCAATGTACCAATCCAATGGGCCTCCATCTTTAGGCGTAGGACTATGTTGTGAATTATTTCCTATTGGGTACGCTCGACCGTTCCCTGGGCTTGGTGTGCTTCCTCTCGGTGATGGTGTATTATGCCGCGACTCGGACCCACTAATCGGTTTGGTAAATGCAGATAGAAATCTGGACGTCGCAGGTTGTTTTTGTTTGCGCTTAAATGAGAAGTGGTTTGGGCTGTCTTCGTCAAGTGGATCGTCTGCAAGTACAGCTTGGGGATCATCGTTATCGCTGTCATCTTCGGCTGAGGGATGATTTGGTGGACTGCGACTCGACGACGAATCGGGGTGTCGCCGAGTTGCGAAATAACCCGCAGATGAACTGGCCATCTTTATACATTCGATAGAAGTATCTGCATCTTCTGTGGTAGTCGTAAGTTGAAACAGCTTTGTCGTTGACTTAAGAGTCTCGAGTGCTCTAGAATCCTCCGGATTAATGTTCTACCGAATTCCGACCGAAGGCTATTTGATACCCAATCCCAATTCCATCCATCATTCTTCCAAAATCAAAATTTTATTTAATTCCGACGTGAATGAATGAGATATTTTAAATATACTTTGAATCGAGCATGTCAGAATCAAAGGTCAGCGATAGCTCAAATTCCGAGCCAACGGGTCTCAGTAGCCCTGGCGCAACTTTTGAAAAAATGAAGGACCTCCTAAAGGCGAAAGACGACACTTCCAGGTTCGTAGGACTTGCTCTCCTTAAATCCGTTCTTGACAACGAACAACAGCTCGTCAAAAATACAGAACGCCTACAAATACTTTGGGAATCTATATCCTCAAAGTTTTTAGATCGACTATTGCGAGCTCAGTTTGGTGGAAAAATTGACAAGGCCCAAGCAAAAGATATGGTAGATCTCGCAGTAGCTGTACTACATACATTCTCTATACTATTGCCAGAAGATGTTCGAAGGGGACCACAGCTCACTGGAAGAACAGGACCTCTGGTCAAAGCACTTATTCAAAGGTAACACTCCAACGGTTCGTGTGTGAATCACGTGCTAATGCCACCTAGTTCCCCTGAAACTACACAGCTTATTCTCCAAACGCTGTTAACTATAGTCAGCCAGGTAGAAGGCTCTCTAGAACTTTTAAAAGTTGAGGATATCTCATCATTAATAGAGATAGCGCCACAATATCCCCTTGTTCTCGACATTCTAAATTATACTTGGGCAAATGGTTCTACGATCGAAGTACAAGCTGTCCATGAAAGTATCAATCGAGTGATTTCAAATCTCCTTGTAGTATTCAAAGGAACTGATGCAGTTACATTTTTATCTTTTGTTTCAAGCTTTATACCCAAATTATCTTCTGAAGTAAATCAATACTTCCCCTATTCAGTGCCGAGTCTAACATGTTTTAGGCGCTTCCACGTAATCCAAAGTGGCTTAAGTCTGCAATTGCCTTGCTTCGCGAGTTAGTTAACAGAAAACCCACACTCGCTGGTAGAGTTGCATATACTCAGGCGGCAGCGGCATTGTTACAAGCATATCCTGTGACATGTCCTTCATTGTTGTTTAACGATGAAAGTCTGCATACCTCGAATAAGAATGAAAGCAATAGCAAGCCGTTTTCTTATCTATTTGTAAATCTTTTATTGATTGACTTGCGATCATCCTTTCCGTCACTCTTAGCGAAATTGAATAACAGTGATTATTCAAGTATCTCACAACGACTTGCAGCCGCGTTCGATGTTCTCTCAAGCTTCATAGGATATCTTGTTCGAAGTCTCGATGAAGAAAATTCCAAAAACTTCACCATGCCCCCAGATTTAATGTTGAAGTTGCGAAAGGATATTGCTGAGACTATGTCTTTGGCAATTGAATACCTGCGAGATAGATGGGACGCATCTATTGCCGGTGCTTCTGGATTACATCCTTCCGCACGAGCTGGAACCGCTGCCACATCTGAAGGAACAAGACTTACTTTAACCTGGGATTCCATTGAAGATAAGGTTACTGCGGACCCCCTGATCCTAGCTAGTATCAGAGCATTAGCTATATGGGTTCGTGAGGATGAGAACGAAAACCTACGCAAAGAAAGTGCTGGTATGATGGATATGTTCATTGAGCTATATAAAATAAGTAATATGGATGAACCTGACTTCAGATATCCTATATTACTCGCGCTCGAAGGAATTATGACCACCGAGGATGGCGTGGAAGCTTTCTTGAACCAGGATGGATGGCAAGTGGTTTCCGAAGATCTCCTCAATGTTCTTAGCCAAATTGCCGATACCGCAGCACCCACCAATCCTCAATCTTCCATAACCGCAGAAGCAGCAAGAGGTCTTCAAATCGTACGCATCCTACTCGCAGTCATAGATGAAGAGTCAACGTCATACATTAAACAGGAATGGTTGACTCTGATTTCAACAACATCTGCCATAAAACTACCTGCCTCATTGTCGTCGTCGGTGGTCATCGAGCTACATATTGCCATGCTACAACTATCCACAGCATTATTATCAAAAGCAGGAGATGGCATGCGAAAGCGTTACGCCAATGATCAAAAGACTCAGAGACAAATGGCGGACGAATTAGAGGTCATTGTAGGGACGATGAGAGATAAGCAGGAGGCGGATGAGTTTAAGGAGTTGCTGTCAGACGTAATTTTAGATTTGGAAAATCTAGGAGTAGGTAGATGATCGTTAATATCATTAGAAGTGAGCTCGAAATGAAGCATGGTCTCTGGTTTTATGAATATCATGGAAATATTAGCAACTCTACAAGGATCTAGGTTCGTAAAAGGCCATTACTTCTGTGCATTCACAGGTTACCTAATTATAACAATTTTTCATTATCAACCTCATTGTAACCTCATATACCTATCTAGCATTCCTGTCTTTTTCGATCTCATCTCGAATCTTCTCTAGGTTCTTCTCTTTGCAACATGGAAAGAAAGCTTAAGAGTTGAAGCCAGAGCCCATTTTGCAATCGTTGTAACAATTAAACATTCATGTGATCGACTCGACGGCTCTGTAGTGGCGATCCCCAGATCTACAAGTAAATTGTCATGTTGCCAAACCAACTGTAAGTAGCTCCTCTCATGTGTATGCTTGCTATTTGATGATCTGGTTTCCACTTCCCACCATTTCTCTAAACCTGTTTGAACGAAGGATGAGAGTTCCAACAAGAGCGAGAGGAAAAGCACACTCAGAAAATGATAATTTTAACTTTTCTTTACTATCAGAAGATATATTGAAAGCTCATTATTGCCTACGGATATAAACTCCAACAAAAAGGTACCATCTTAACTCAGACTCTTGTACTAGGTATCTGATCACCTCCAATGTTGCATAATTGAGATAGTAAGTAAATCTTGCATGTGAAGTGCAACACTGATAACGGATATCGGAACTAGTTCCGGTGTACGATCTGATTTATGGAGGTCCTCGTGGCTGTCGCTTGATGAACACAAACATATATGTGTATGTTGTGTACATGAAAGCGGACAGAAGCTTGGAGGAGAGGCGAAATGAAAAGCTCGCATGAGATGGTCGGATGGACTTGGGTGTTGTATTCGTTTTACGTTCGGCATTTTGATCTTTCGTACAGAAGATCATTATCTCTCAAGTGCGATACTTTCGTTGTTTACATCAAAGATCATGAAAACATTTCAATCACTTCTTCGACCAACGGCTCGAGCTCCCAGTACGTAACATCGTCATGGTATAATAACATTTTTCGTGCTCATCAGTGACAACTAAGATTCCGTGCGCTAAACCCAAACGTCACAAGATGTTCATTCCAGTTGAACTCCTCGGATCTGGCCGTTGTCACCTCGTTCAAAACAAACATACCTAGTTCCGCCACGAGGATCATAACACTAAAAAGGCAAAGGGTTCCGAGCCATTCATCATGCTGTGGCAATATCAATGGAAGATGCAAGTTCACTTCCCCGGATGAGTTGTCACTCTCGGGTACTTGCAGAAGACAGAATGCTACATTTAATTTTGCTTGAAATGAAGTAGTTATCAACTAAGCTTGAGAACATCCACCACGGTGTAAATTGAGCCGCAGTATAACGAATAATTGAATTGAAACTAGTTTTGTACAGATGCCGCCTTTCTACTATCATGCGAGCTACAAAGCAAATATTCGTTAGTGGTCATTACGCAGTATGAGGTGCACAACACTCGTATCCTCGATACGTCTGACAATCGTGCGATGTAACTTCGATGCACAATCATCGTCAAACAATATACAATCATGATGTAAACCAGGGCTACCGATAGCATCTGGATGTGGACTCTAGGGAAGTAAGCATAGCGATAGTCTGAGTCTTTGAATTTGGAAAACACAAAATGGTATGTATTGCACAATCAAGAGAACGTGGGATAGAATACTGAGCACCATCTCATGCATCTACCCGAGAGAAATCCTGATCTTATACCCTTCATGAGTGTTCCACGATGAGATGATCACTTGAGTATTGTGGTATTTGAGAACATTGAATACTCCGATTTGAGAATCTCAAGTTCGTCGTACAAATTGGATTCTTGTATTAACAGAGTTATTTCTTACTTTGAAGATTGGGATCTCTCTATCAATATCAAACTAGTCTCAAAACTTTCAATATCAGTTCCAAATATGCATCTCCAAAAGTTTCTCGTCGTCACCTCCTCCCTAACTGTCGTTGGACTCTCGGCTCCAGTAGCTTCACAAGGTACACAAGGGAGTTGAACTATTTCCTAGCACCCGGATAATAGCAAATGACTCACAAATAACCAGACCGAAATTTCGAGATCATCGAGCGCAACGAACCTAACGCTCTAATCCTCGCCCAACACGGCTCCGAAACGAACACTCACCACATCTCAACAATCCCCGAAAACGACGCAGTCGCAGCTACAGACAAAACAATCGAACGAGCTCTCAGCCGCAAAAACACATACAAACCTCTCGAAATCCTCGTCCCAACATCCACAACAAAGCAGAAGAAGCGCGGAGACGAAACCATCGTCTGGGTTCCCCCACCACCAACTTCGAAGATTCCCCTAGCACGCGGAGATGCAACGGTAGTTTGGGTTCAACCTCCACCTACGCCTCAGATTCCTGTGTAATTGCTTCTGTCGACTGTTTTTGTTCAGATGGTCGCTGAATCTGTGTCGAATTTAGAAGTTGGGATTGGGTGTATTGGGAGGAAAGTGAGCCTAGGGGTAGGGAATAACGATGATACAAAATATGAGGCTTTGATCGAAATTTAACCAGTCATGGATGAGATCTTGCACTTGCGGAATATGGGCAGATGGCATCTATGCAAAATGCGTTCTGCGTATATTCAAAGACCATAGTTTGAGAATGACTTCTTGATGTTTCAGTAGTAACACAGGTACAGCAATGAAGTTTTTGGGAAAAAGAGTAGGGAAATAGCAATGATTGAATTTGTTTTTCCAGACATCATGATGCTTTTCTAGAACGAGATCAGACTCAACTCACCATTCAAGAAGCGCTTGACTTTATTCTGAATGTGCTGTCTTATCCTCAAAAGTGATGTAATTATCACATAGAAAGTTAGTGGACTCTTCTATTCGTCAAAGTGTAGTATCATCCCCATTCCTCGATCACGTGAGTTATTGAATGGACTAGGTACCTTCAACGAATCATTAAAGAGAGGTAGCTTCGAAGTCAATTTTTCTTTTCGGACGCAATCCTGCTAAGTGGCGATGCCCAGGTGATCATGACGCAGAAAAATGGCAATAAATTATTGGAAATCGTCATTACATAATATTCATTATTCTCTCATGATGTTGTATTCCATATAGGTATAATAAAGACCTAGTATCTTCGCTCGTTTGACCTCCCAAAAACGCCTCGCTAAAATTCCGATAGTGTCCGAATAGATGTACATCCCGTCTTTTCTCCAAAATTATCTTCTCATCTCAGTGATCCTCCTAGATCACTGTTCGTCAGGCCAAAAAAAATGCCGCTAGCTTCTATCCAAATCAGCCTTTCTGAAACCCGCCAATACTTTTTGCCCAACCCCTTTCTTAGGCGGTAACACGCCCTCCCCTCTTCTCGATACTGGCTGTGGATACGTTGGCTGAGCTACTGTTGGAGTTTCTTGCACAGGTTGTAATGCTGTACTACCACTTCTGCTCGGCTTCTTATCCTTCGAAGAACTTGAGCCTGCTCTTTTCGGCGAATCTACATGAGTACTCGAACTCGAACTCCTCGCTTCCACAGGCAAACTCGGTTGTCTATGATCCTCGCCCTTGCCCAGCAACTTCTTCGGTAAACTGGGTACACTCTTCCAGCTTTTCTTGATTTCTTCATTTTCCTCTCTGTCCTTTTCCTCTTCTCTCCGTTTTCTAATCTCCGGATCTATTTCTCCTCTTTCCTCTGCTTCTTTGAGTCTTCGAGTGTTTATTGTTTCGATAGCTTCAGAGGTAAGTTCTTGTTTCATCATTTTTTCGATAACGTCATGTTTTCGTGTACGTTTGTCGCCCATGGATATTAGAACTCCTCCCATGATGTTGCAAGTGATACTACAGCATAAAATGACTGTCGTGAGAGCGAATGGTCGAGTTTTGTACGAAATTCCCCACGTACATGCACCTAACGTGATTTGAAGACAGGAATGTAAATCGAGTAATATGACGACGGCAAAAAGTAATTTCAAAGGGAATGCGTAATGGGTCTCTGTCTCGTGTGGTTTATAGAATGTGTGACTTTTGGAGAATTTTCGTTCGTGGTATTCGAGGACACTCTGTTCCTCTGGTGAGAGGACGGTATATTCGTAATTTGGCTCTACTTCTATTTGATTCCGAGCAATCATTCTATCGGCGTACTTCTTGGGTATGCGTGGCGCAACTCTACGTGCGAAACTTTTAGGCATTCGACGGGCGCATAGACTCTCGATATCGACCTGAGGAGGTGGAGCAATGTCTTCCTTGCGTTGTTCTGGGAGATCGTTATGGTCCCATAGCTCTGGGAGACCGAGCTTCTCGCGACGTTTCCAAGTTTTGCGGTGATAGTGTGCTATATAGGCCATGTGGTAGGTATCAACTGCACGGAACGGGGCTAGACCATCACCAATGATTGCGAAAAGAGCAACGAGCACATTATCAACAATGTTGACAATATAAGCTTTTCGAGAACCTAGAGATATCCAGCCGATGAGAAAAAGTACCCAGGCGGCACCGAACAACGTGATCAAAGTTGCGTAGACTGTGATGAATAGTCCCAAAGCTTTACGAAAAAAGTTAGTCAAAGCGGACCAAGAGTGAAAAGTTAACTCACGTCTGCGAACATACTGTCCGAATCCTTTCATTGAACGCTTGAATTTCGCTCGTCGGGAATGAAGTTGATGTCTAACAAGATCATCCAGCTCATCCACCTCGGCGGGCGTCCAACCACCAAGCCTTTCTCCATCAGGCAAAACGGCATACTCTAATTTCGGCGGCTTCCATGTATCACCGTCTGCTTGTTTTTCTGGACTTCGTAGATTTTTCAACTTCGCTTTGATCTTATCAATCGTGCGTACTTCTCCTGGGCGTTCTGAAAGTTTATATGTCGGCTGACGATTAACGAAACCTCCCATTTGAGGCACGAAGAGGGAATTCTGGACATTGGTAAGAGTGGAGAGAGTAGATATTTCAGGATCTGCAGAGAGTCAGTCTAGTAGCTGAAAAGCTGGTATGGCTATACATGCCCATAACATCTAGCAAATCTACCATATCAGGATCATATTCATGCTCATAAGATTCGGGCTCTTTAGAGTATTCCCCGCGACCAAATAGCGATCGAAAGCGATTGGTAAATACATTTCCTTGCGATGGAAGAGGGTGGTTTGCCGCTTGAGTGACGGATTGTTCTGAACGCCCTGTGCGATTTTGTTGGGTACTTCCATGAGGTAACGGAGTGGAGGTAGATTTCTCAGAGAAGTCTCTTGTTGAGGGTACATTTCGTGATTCCGCAGTTGACGAGTCGCGATAGATACGAATGGTAGGTCGTTGGTGTGTGCTCAGAACCGACTTTACTTTCCTACCAACTGCAACAACTGGGTTCTCAGTTGTCGAAGACGATGGCGAAGACTGTGGTGAGTCTTGGTGAGCCATTTTGAGGGTGCTTTCTTCAATTGTTGTTGTTTGTTACTCCATACAACGAAGATTTGGTAGAATTGTCGTAGCAGCACGGATTTGAAGCTATCGCATCAATAACTGAGGTCTCAAAATGCGCTCAGAAAAATAGGCGATTTATTATAGAGGAGAGTACAACAGATTGATTTCAGGGTCCAATGGACCTAATAATGTAATGCTATCTATACATTTATCAGGTTGCACAGGGGTGCGACCCTGTTTTGGGTCGACGATGTCATTTTGCAGGTAAAATTGCAGTGAATATTGCAGTACGCCGGTCACATCCCAGGGGTAATCTGTTGGCAAAGTTCCAAAATACCTTGGAACAGGATTTGTAGATGGCAGGGCTACTGAGCTCTGATTGGCCAAAGTTCAACAAATTACGGGAGCAAAAAGCAGGTTTCTTGAAAATACATGAGGAAATGAGGAAATAGAAAAACAAACAACAAACATAAAGGATATTCAGAGATGCAGAATTGATATATATATAGAAAGGAGGAAATTGAGATGTATCAAAGTGAAAGTTTATATATATATATATATAAGGAGGAATCTTTCAACCACGTATTTGAACCGACGTTGAGAGGATTGAAAGTTGGAGAATTGAGATTGCGGGATCGATAATGTCATTTGATTACTATTGATTACTAATCGGGTAAAGATCCCACTAAGAGTGATCTGAGCCACGTGCCGTGGACAATTAAATCGTTGTGCTCGGACCAGGGGAGTGCTAGTTGGAGGTAGGTACTCCGTAGATAGGGAGGGAGGTATCCATGGATCCAGTCCCCGCCATCTCAAGACTGTGGCTTTTCATTTGAGGCGTTCGTTCTAGAGCTCACTTGAATCTGAGTATCGTCATGAGAAGTCTGGCTGATGCTTCGGAAAGATTTCAAGTTCTTCCACCTCGGGATAGGAGACAAGCAGAAGCAGGAGAAGGTCAAAGTGAGATCTTGCATGCGACTATATAAGGTTACAGCAGTAAGGTTAGTCACGAGCATGTGAGTTCGAGATACCTACCACGTAGTAGTTATGTATATAAGTCCGGTTTTGCGCATATCAGTCACTGGACATTTAGCTTCAAGCATATTGGTTGTTAGATACTTACAAGTAGGTATGTCGATTAGTTACAAGTATATCTATTGATTATTAGGTAGAGAATTGTAAGCACACAAGTTTAGCACCATTGAGTTAGCCCTACTATTCTAGATTTGACTGTGAGCGTGTAACAGAACCTCGGAACGGTATAGTGAAGATACCTGTGGGACGGCCGACGGGTATTGCGTGCTTTGATCTGTGCGGTGCAGGATGTGATTGGATTTTACTTAGAGTAGGGAGAGGGGGAGGAATTGCGACGATTAGTCTAAAGAATGGGAGAGGACATGTTCAGGGACTTCTCTGGGATGAGAATGAAAAGTGGGATGATGTCGTGGATCTATGGGCATTTAGTCTGGATTGTCAAAATCGTGTGGGACAGATTGAGGGGATTGGTGCATATACGGCAGGTAGATTCCGAGTCTACGGATTTGATACGACAGGAGAGGAGGAAAACAATTCCAAGTAGCCTCGCATATACATAGATTCACCGGTCCTAACACACCGCCCATTCCAATTGCAGGTAGCCTCGCATACACACGTAGATTCTGATGCATAGTCATGTACACGGGACCAACAATCCCACGGGGGAGAGAAGAGACCGATACAAGTTACATTTCCATCCTTGGCACACACCCCATCCTATTTTCTGACGCTAAAGGCACGCATGTTCAGGGTTGACACGCATCTCTCAGCCCAGGCCTTCCAAAACATTCTCACTAGAACACCAATTTCCTTCTTGCATCTTCGAGAAAATCGTAGTGTTGAATGTAGGATAACAGATAGGATTTGACCAGCTCTACAACAACATCTAACTCAGAGAACATGCAACAACTCGATTGCGTTTCTTAACTTGTATGTATAACAATCTTCTGCATAACCTTCCATTAATTAAAAGCTATTGATATTTTCAGTCTTTCCAGATGTACATATTCCTTCAATCTTCCATATCATAAGAGCGGCATTGAGGCTCGACCTTCAAATAGGCACTGTCCCCTGTGAGCCTTTTGATATTTGCTGTCGCCCGATTGATTGAAGTGGAGGTAGTGTGGCTGTGGGAACCCAACGCTAGCAATTCCCCATTATGTGCATAGCTGGAGGCAGTCTGTCTCTTGGTCTCCAGGGCTCTCAAAGGAACCCTCGACCTTTAAGATTGGTGCATAGTTTGTTGTGTTCCACATGATGACTTCTGCTTACCCGTACCCAGGTCTGTAGGTATGTTGTCGGCGCTCAGGAAAGAGTACGCCTGCTAATTATGCATTCGCTCACGCTGCATAGGTACTGGACAATGGACCCACGTATCAAAGGTGTCGATCTTTATTAGCACTGTCACTGATTCTTTTCTTGTCATGATATCTACGTGGATACCTATGGATGTCCCCAGTCTGTGTCATAACATTACCTTACATAATCCATCCCCGTCCCATCCATCCCCATTCCATCGATCCCATCCCATCCATCCCCGTCCCATCCATCCCATCCCTACCTAGGTAATCAATAGAAGGCCACGCTCTTTCTGATATTACTACCTACCTTAGTGGGGGTTGCTGGTTTTTTATTATAGTATCTCAACTGTAAAAATTTATTAGAATTGTGATGTACAAAATTTAATATATTCATAGAGTTATATTTAGTACTATAATAGAATCGAATATTGTATTAAAATAAATATTATATATGAAAATAAAACTATATAAGAAAGCGAACTATATATAAAAGCAAAACTATATACAGAAATGTATACGGAAATAAAACTATATACGGAAGTAAAACTGTATATACGAAATAAAACTGTATATACAAATAAATCAAAATAAAATAATCCTTACTTTTCTTTTCCTAAAAAATATTATTATTATTATTCTTCTTTTCTTATTCTTCTTCTTCTTCTTCTTCTTCTTATTCTTTTTATTCTTTTTATTCTTCTTATTCTTCTTATTCTTCTTATTCTTCTTATTCTTCTTATTCTTCTTATTCTTCTTATTCTTTTTATTCTTCTTATTCTTCTTATTCTTTTTCAAATTATAAGTAGTATATACTATTACTACACTACTATCCTATATAATTTCTTTTTAATAATTAAACTCAATTAAATTAGATTATATCATTAAATTCATTTTTGTTAATAAATATCTTATCTAAATTAATATTAGTTTTCTAATATAATACTAATTTTTCAATATAGTATTATCTTTCTAACACAGTATTATCTTTTTAATATAGTAATATTATAATTATAATTTATTTTTATATATAGTTTTATTTCCGTATATAGTTTTACTTTCATATACAGTTTTGCTTTTATATATACTTTTATACACAGTTTTACTTTCGTATATACTTTCATATACAGTTTTACTTTCATATACAATTTTGCTTTTGTATACAGTTTTATTTTTTATAAACAATTCTATCTTATATATATAATCTTTTTTATTAAATACAATTTATACACTATAATAAAAAACCAGCAACCCCCACTAAGGTATCTAGATATCTGATTTAATAACAATATAATATTATGAATTTGAAAAAGAGAGAAACATATTAGACTACAAGCCTACGAATATTCGAGTTCAGTTTAGAATTCAAAGTATTGTTAATTCGATTTTAATAATAATTAACATTGGAGATATCATAATATCTTTGGATGAACTAGCGATGATGTGCAAATTGTAATAAGACTGATGTCTAATCGCGCATTTCCGATATGTTGTTTAGTAGATGAAGTATCAACTAGATATACGACGTAGATAATAGATATAATGATTGATGATGTTGTATATACCTGTTATTGATATTATTGAAATGGGGGGTCACCAGTGGATATACCGACCAACCATTTGTCTAGGGAGTGATGATTTCCATGCATCCAAAATTCCAAATGTGGTAAGTGGACATGTAATAAAGACCATTGGTGTGGTGGTGGCATGCAGCATCGTTCATGTCTAAAGCCCTCCTAGCGAATGATAAGATGTCAAAATCAGGAGTGGAAGCAGATCTGAAGCTTTATCCATCCCTAGACTGCGGATTGCGGCTGGGTTTGTCTGATAAGATGGACCTGATGGAAAAGGGTAAGATGAAAGGGGAAATAATTCCGTATTCTTTTGGAATATTCAAGGTACGCTAATAAGGATCATTACTTTTAGGGCCAATTGGCTTTCTGTTAGCGTTCCTTGAGTATTTTTCTTCTGCACGGGCCACCGATCTCGGCTGCAATCCACAAATTATTACTTGCGGTATGGATGGCTAGGATAGACTAGAAAGTCAAGAAGATCTGACAGTACAATATTTCTTCTATATAACCTAGTGTTTCTTCCCGACTGCCTTTCTTTTTATTTGAATTGGATACACATACAAAAGAATCAATATCACTGACTGTCTCTGATTGAACACACCTATTTCCCAGAGATATCGGTACCTCTTGCGCCAAATTTTCATCATCTTCATCATGCGTCAGTAAAGAATCCCTCAACTTTCCACATACCAGCAACCGAACTTCGCGTCTACACCAAATCTAACTCGTTCATCTAGTTGCTATCGACAACGTTATCGCTATATGTTTTGGTCTGATTAGCGTTCTCCTCGCAATTATTTCGCTGTATGTTATGTGCAAACCAAAAGCCGCTTCAGGTATGGAACAAATCATAAAATGATGGTCCAGAAATCATCGACTAATGATTAATTAGACTTATCAGGGCTGGACCTTGAGTTAGGTCCACGAACTACGAGCCTACCCCCTAGTCGAGCATATCCGAACTCAATATCTTCTAGTCTTCCTAGTAGAGCACCTTCAACCTCAGCGTATTCTAGTCTCCCTAGCAGGGCTCAAATCTCAGTGCACAATGATACCTACAACCACCTCCGTTCAATCAGACAAGCCCCTCAGCGTGCGACAAATCAGTTCCAAAATTTTGCCATATTCGTTCCGGCGATGACATTTGCTACAGCGGAGCCTTCGCCTGAACCTACGATGGAGCTCTATCAAGTAACGCAGTCGGCGAGGTTTATATCATACAATCGGAGTTGGGGATGATATTTGAGGCAATGTGGACCATTAAAGGGCGGCTAGATAGTTGGGATTATTGATGGGTGTACTGGTATCCATGGTAACATCGATGGAGTTATTATTTTAGACGGAGGTGAGGAACTACTGTACCGAGACTTGGAACGCGCTAACGATTTACACAAGATTGGATTATTATGTTTTGATATATGGTTGAGATGCTTTTCAGTTATGGGGGGACGGGTAGTAGCGGTTAGAAGATAGATGGCATCAGACTCCCAGGTGTGTTTCGCCTTATCCGACGAGGAACAGTGATGATGATGGCGCAGAGTTGTTTCATTAATCCATATTTATATCTGTATAGTTGTGGTTCTCTTACAGTAGCTAACATGAAATAGTTGTCGCGGGGCCAAGAGAAAACGAGGGGTTCTAGGCCTATGACGTATATGGACTCCACACACTAGCCACAGGCCGCTAGATCCCGAGGTCCCGCACTTCCAAGCCCGGCGGGGGCGTTCTAGAAGACAACGGTGTGGTGGTGTGGCTTCGGCGTGGTTATCTGTGATAAGGCTTAGGCTGAGCTGACCACCAAGACTAGAGACTAGGTACAACGCTAAAGGATGTTCACAAATGCGTTGTGAAACAACATTTCCACAACATGTACGAGTATATTTAAATCTAATGGATACTAGACTTTCTTTACCTAATCTGAGATCCAACAATTGAAGCTACCTACCTATATGATATATCATTTCTATTTTAACAATCGCGAGTCACCTGTCTGTAATATCTAAATTCATATAGAGTGAGAATCATTGGTCAAAAAAGTCTAATTTGAGATGACAGACTTAATCATCAGAGGAGTGTCCATTTATGGACTGGGTACATATCCATCCACGAACTCGGCACCGGCGAGGTGACACAATCTCATAGCAAGGTAACAAACACAATTGACTGACTTATTATCTTCAGAACGATGTGTAGAAAGCATTATGTTACGACCGCTAGTAATATATCTACAGGCACACGACTCACTAATGTCAGGGCATCTATCTCCCGAGTCCGGAACGACTCATATCATTTGCGGGATAGACTAGAAGATCACATTCATATTTATATACATAGAACTAAAACTGTTTTTGTGTTATAGACATGACATCCTAGAAAACAAAGTCGCACAAAAAGTGACGTCGGTATTGATTCAAATCACAACACTCGTATCACACCACGACTAAATTTAATGCACGGTTGCCGCTCCCGACTTCTGCAAAGTTTTCGGCAACAATGGTTGAATAACATTCAACCAAACAGTCGTATACAATCTATTGTCAATTAGCATATCAATCATTCATCTAACAAATAGATAAACTCACCCAGGACTTCCATCCGAAGCCAGACTTCCCGGTTCCAAACTTCCCCATTGCTGCGAATCTGCACAACAAGGCGAATAAGTTCCCCAAAAGGGTCCAGCGGCCCAAGCTGTCCATCCTATATACTCTTTATTCTGCGCCATGTAATCAACAATTCCCTTAATGTATGGAGCGCATTCTGTACCGTTAGCACCACCAAATTCGGTAATCATGGCTTTGAGATTGTAGGTCTTGAGCCAAGCGGTCAGAGGGGCGAGAAGTTCTGGAGCGGGAGATGCACAGACAGAGTGTCCACCTGAGAAATCAACATCGAGATACTCGTGGATGTCCATTGCGGTGTTATTGAGAGGATCCTGGAGCGTTTGCATCAAAGCACTGGATGGGTCGCTGCCTTCGGTCCAAGCATGACCTCCTGTCCACGAGTTTCCTGGTGCCAAGATCCTATAGTTTTTGTCAGCGTTGATCTCGTTTATATCGGAATAATCGAATTACGCACAAATTCTTCGCACCGGCCTTACGGATCGCAGTGATCGCAGCTTGATCATTTGCGACTACCAAGCTGGTGGGCATGTCATGGGGCTAACGCTTTCGTCAGATATAATTACTTTCCTCGATGGGTGTCGAACGCAAGAGAAGGCATTGTCAAGGATGTAAAGGATATCAACTAACCTCATTCATCAATCCAAAGATGACTTTCGTGTTACTCTTAAATCTCTTCGCCAACTCTCCCCAAAATGCAGCAAATTGTGCCGTGGTTGCAGCTTTAGGATCCGTTGTGTTACCGATCACGGATCCGGAGTACGGTTGAGAAGAAGGATCATTGTAACGCATATAGTTGTGAGGGTCTAGGATAGCATATGCAGATTTGGTTTTAGTGATATAGTTGATTGCATCCGCGTAGTAGGCGTAATGCTAATTTAGATGTGAGCTCGGCTAATGATGAAGGGGGAGGTTGAGAGACTTACTGTTTCGTCGAATGTAGCACCTAAGCCGGTAGCAGGAGGACACATTCGCTCGAGGAGGAATGCTACTCGGAATAAGTTTACCTGGAAAGCTGTTAGATTTCTCGAGTATCGGCGCAGCATTCTTGCTGTGAAGTATGCGAGATTGAGTCAAGTCATCAACCTACAACCTACCTTATTCTTATCCACGTAAACATCAATGGCAGATTTGTTAATGAAAGCATAATCCTGGCCAAACACCCCCGGTAATCCTGTTCCCACGGTACCTGTTCCACCTATTTAATATTAGCATTAGACCATCTAAGTTCAACATAATCTGAGGGATTCCCAGATCATAGTATAGAGAATATAGTGATAGCAGAAACACATACTATAAACTCCAAACTCTCCACCACTCTCAGCTACTCCTGCGTAGTAAATAGTAGCATCCACCGAAGCGGCAAAGGCTCCAATCGCGGAGATGAGACTTTTCAAAAGCATGATTGATTATCTCTTTTCTCGAACCACACCGACTTGAACTTCAAAGGTAAAAGAATACAATACGAATGTCCAAAAAAATCATGTACTCAGAACCACAGATCTATATACCAAATTCCGCCACCGGAACTAAGGGAACCACCTCCCACAATGCCGAAAAGATCCATGCCGGGTAGTATCCGAATAGATGAAGTTATTCCGACCCATCCTTCTACCCTGTCGATCCTTCACACATCACCATCAGTACACGCACATGATCCGGAACCCACACGATAAGCCTGGGCGACGGAGAAATTCCACCTCACAAATGAATAGGTACTCAGGGGATAATCGGAGGCTCGGGCCGGCTATTAATAAACTAATTTCTGGGGACCCCACGCGGGAGATGTCACTCCGCGATTGACAATTGCCGAAATGGGGATGGAGAGCCGGCTGTGATAAGTTTTTTTATGGGTTCTGGATGATGAGCTCCACTGAGAGTCAGTCAGTCGATGTTTTGAGCGATCCGAACTCCGCCATATCACTTTCTTTAATCTGTAAGAACGTTGGCCAAGAGTGTTTCCATATTAATTAAGATGTCTTGGCAAACACCCTGTATTCTACAGAAACGTGCTTGTGTGTAATCTAAGCGCTTTTCATTTCATTAATCAAGGACATGGATGATTTGAAGATGGAAGTTGAATACTAATCAATTGCGGTTTCGCTGACTAAAGTAATGTCCTCAAAAAGTTGAAAGTGGTGTGAAACACTGCAGTAGCCAGCAGCTTGAGTAAATGTATGTATCTATTTTATGCAGATCATATAGCACAACTCAATAGAATAATGATATGAACGCTAAAAAAAACTTATATTAATGCTATCAACAACCCCAAAGAAAAAATCATATATTAAGACCCTCGCAAGAACAAGACTCAAAAAGAAAACCGATTATACACAACAGCCAAAGAAACAACCAAAGAAACCAAACAGTGAATAAAAACACTCCCTCGACTTCGCTCCTCGCAAATTCCTTGGCATTACCCCTTCACCTCTACCAGGTGCAAGTCAAACACTTTCCCTTTCCCTCTCCCTCTCATGGTTGTGACTATGACCCGAGAATCCCCAAATACTACTGATCTTTCTTAACATATTCGAATGTTGTCTCTTCCCCTCTTCCATCGTCATGAATTCAAAACTTACGGGTCTCTTCCAAACACCCAACTCATCATCTTTCTCACCCTTTTCGCCCTTCTTAACACCCCATTTATCGATACTCTGAAGCAGCTTCACTGCCTCTTTCCACGCATTTTCACTCTCAAACTCTTGTTCTATCTGTCTCCAAAGATCGACGTAAACACTTACATCTTTATCCCAAGTCCCCTTTCTCCAGTAAGCTCTCTTCAATAGCTCCAATTGTGCAATGGCAATGATGCATGCTCTATCTCTGGGTAACTCATCGCCGGCATCGGAGACAGTACTTCGAAGTATGTCTTCATGAATACGCATTGCTTTTCTAAGATCTGGATGGGGAGACGCGGTGTAGAATGCAGAGAGTAGATTCTGCATCTCGAGAGTGGTTGAATCGAGTGGACCCCATACACGACGGATGTTATAACACATGTCTTCGAGGAGATGGATAGCTTGGTCTTGGTGGCCGCGGGAGAATTGCGTTTCAACGAGGAGGCGGCCGATATGCACGATTGTGGAGGAAGACCAAGAAAGTTGCGAATGACGGGAGTTCCAGAGTTGAGTAAGGAGCCACTGTGATTATTGTTAGGATTGACACAAAATAAGGGAACAGGGTAGGAATATGCTTACCTCAAGAGCTTCTAGGTCTTGAATTTCTCCAAGCAGGCCGCATACACTATTCAGCTGTTCAATTGGCAGATCCACGATCTGGAGTTTACCGGTGCGGAATCGCTGGATGATTTGTTTCATGATTGATCCCGACAAAGCCACCGAAGAAGCGCGAAGCTGAGCATCAGTGATGTGCTTAGCTCTGTTGCCAACCAGCACTTGCGCTAGGCGTAGACCCATATCTATCTTGGGCAGAGTATCATAGCCCCCATAGAATTTCTGAAAGCGATCGACGTATTCAGCAAGCTCTTGTCCCTCTGCGAATTTGCCTTTGCTCATATAGACACTGGTTGTATCCAGACCTGCTCGCAGGACAGAGATCTCAGCTTCGCCTTCGTTGAGGTTTACAAGGACGATGTGCAAGAACTCGAGCAGAGTATTGCTTTTCAGGTTCTTCTTGACATCCAAATTCGCCGCGAAGTATTCTAGGATAGATTTATTGGCGATTTCGAGTCCAGCATCATCTTCGACATCCATCAAGAATGCAAGGAGTCTGGAAGCATATGAGAGGACAGTTGTAAAGAACATCTTCTGAGTGATTGAGCGCTGATACATTTGGTATAAGAAGACTTCCATGAATAAGTCGGCCATGATTGATGAGTAGAGTTCCTTTCTTCCAGTGACAGTTGACTCGAAAGCAACCAGGAAGACCCAGGTATAGCTCTCCAGTTTGAACTTGGGGTCAACTTTGAGATTGGACTGACCAAAGATTGCATGTGAGCGCAATTGCTTCGTCAATCTCACTGCTTCGGACTCCAACCTTGCATTTTTGTAAATTGTGGCAAATTTCACTGCCGAGTCTGACAAGATCTGGGAATTCTTCTCGGTCTTGAGTACTTCCAACATCGAGGCTTGAAGAGTTTGTTGGGCCTCCAAAATAGCTTCTGGTTTATCTTGTTTAGCCAATGCTTTAATCAAGTGCCCAAGCCAGAGAAGCGTATCACGATAAACATATCCCTTCTCCGTATGAAACTTGTTGAACTCTTGCTTGTACAAAGTAATAGCTTTTATCGACGCGGAAAGCTTGGAAATAGAGTATAGATGAGGTAGACGCTTCTTTGCAGCAAGTACAGCTGCTGAAGTGACCTCGGT